GGGACAGGGTTAGGGACAGGGACAGGGGTTAGGGGACAATGATAGGGACAGGGACAGGTCAGGGACAGGGATTAGTGACAACGAGACAGGTCAGGGACAGGCTGGGTAAAGTACAGTATGTCACCGTACAGCTGGCCTGGGGAGGGACAATGACAGGGACAGGGTTAGGGACAGGGACAGGGTTAGTGACAATGACAGGGAAAGGGACAGGGGTTAGGAGACAATGACAGGGACAGGGATGGGGTCAGGGACAGGGGTTAGGGACAGGGACAGGCTGGGTGAAGTACAGGATGTCACTGTACAGCTGGCCTGGGGACAGGGACAGGGACAGTGACAGTGTGGGGACAGGGACAGGGTTAGGGGACAATGACAGGGACAGGCTGGGTGAAGTACAGCACGTCACCATACAGCTGGCCTGGGGACAGGGACAGGGACAGGGTTAGGGACAGGGATAGGGGTTAGGGGACAATGACAGGGACAGGGACAGGGACAGGGACAGGCTGGGTGAAGTACAGCACGTCACCGTACAGCTGGCCTGGGGAGGGACAATGACAGGGACAGGAGTTAGGGACAGGGACGGGGTCAGGGACAGGGGTTAGGGACAGGCCATACCCAGGGACACCACGAGCTGCAGGATGTAGCGCGCCGGGTGCTGCCGCAGGAGGGCGAGGAAGGTGAGGAAGCTCAGGGGACCCCAGGCCCAGGCTGTCACCGTCTCCATGGCAACCGTGAAGTCATCGCTCCTGCCGGGGACAGCCCGAGGGGGAGGGGTCACCTGGGGACAGCGGGGACACGGCCACCCCTCCCCAATGTCCCCGCTGTCCCCAACTCACGTCATGTAGCGGCTGTCGGCCTTGGCGTACTCCTTCCCTGGCAATTTGGGGAGGGGGCTCCAGGTCAGGGGACCCAGGGGACCCCCAGCACCCGGCTGTGCCCCTGCCACCTGCCCAGGGACCCCTCAGCTGCCCCAGGGACCCCTCAGATACCCCAGAGACCCCTCCTCACCTGCCCAGGGACCCCTCAGATACCCCAGAGACCCCTCCTCACCTGCCCAGGGACCCCTCAGATACCCCAGAGACCCCTCCTCACCTGCCCAGGGACCCCTCAGATACCCCAGAGACCCCTCCTGCCCCGCCCCCACGCCGCCCCCGCCGCCAATAGGAGCGCTCCGGCTCAAGGTCGGCCAATAGGAGCGCGCCCCGCCCGCGTCTGCCGGCCGCTGATTGGCCGCTCCCGCCGCTGGGGAGATGTGGGGCCAGGGGGCGTGGCTTTGCGCGGGGGCGTGGCCTCGTAGTGTGATTCTCCTCCGCCCAAATGGGCGTGGCCTCGCATAAAGTGGGCGTGGCCTGAGTCCAGTTCTATGGGGGGGCTCTGTGGGGACCCCTCCCCTTTTAAAGGGGCCCAGAGAGCCCCCCCAAATTACACAGGAGCCCCCCAAATTATTTAGGGATCCCCAAAGGCCCCGCCCCAAATTATTTAGGGACCCCCAAAGACCCCGCCCTAATTTATTTAGGGACCCCCAAAGACCCCACCCCAAATTATTTAAGGTCCCACAGACCCCCTCCCCAAAATTCTATAGGGGCCCCAAGGACCCCCCCAAATTATTTAGGGACCCCACAGATC